GCACAATGTAATACACAGCATATTAGGTGAGTGAGTTGTAGGTGTTTATAGTAATACCTGGTAATACCTGGTAACACTTCACTCTCAGTCTCTTTTCGCAAGCATATTTATGAAAATTACATAAGCATTTCACGGCAACTTACATAAATCTACTTGGATATTTAAAAAGCCTTATTTCATCATGTGGCAGTTTTCATACCAGCTGCATTCATCAATTTCAATGTTAAGTTGTCATAACTGACATAACTGAGGTTTTTCTTGACACCTTATCTTTTGTCATAACACTTACAGGGTGAAATGATACAGCACATTATGACACTGCATTTTAGTGGCATTGTATCCTTTTCACAGTTCATCTCTTCTTTCCTCTGGGGTTTGTTTCACATATCATGCTAAAATTTCTCTGCTGGGCATTTAAATCCTGAAAACATTTCTAGCCCAAGTTGTTCCCTTCATAAATGTAATTTTCCAATTAGAATTGAATATTGTGTACAATTCTTCAGCAATTTCTCATGGCACCATCCGCCATAGCCAGAGAGAGGATGAGCAGGTTGGTTGGAGTGTGGAGCTGCTTGAAGTGAGAGATGGAGATGATCACTAACAGGTTCAGAAACACAGTGAACACAGATACACAGGAAATGTGACTCCATTAAGCAGGAGTTTTGTTTGCCGAAAATCCAATTGCTAAAACTGCTTATTTTACTTAAAGGCCAAATTTAAAAAGTTCTACAAGAAAGATTTAGGGGGCAAGAGTAAATGAAGAAATTTGAATCCTAGCTAGGATTTTATACATGGATTCCATTTGTTTAAAGCCACGGACCCATACATGCATTACATTAGTTTAGGGCCACAGGCTCATATATAGACTCCATTAAGGTAGGACCACGGGCACATACATGCACTCCTTTAGTGTAAGGCCATGGGCCTATACATGCACTCTGTTAGCATAAGGCCATAGACCCATACATGGATTCCACTGCAATCAGGACATGGGCCCATATGCAGTATCTCACAAAAGTGGGTACACCCCTCACATTTCTGCAAATACTTTATTATATCTTTTCATGGGACAACACTATAGAAATGAAACTTGGATATAACTTAAAGTAGTGTACAGCTTGTATAGCAGTATAGATTTACTGCCCTCTGAAAGAAACTCAACACACAGCCATTAATGGCTAAATAGCTGGCAACACAAGTGAGAACACCTCACAGTGAACATGTCCAAATTGTGCTCAAAGTGTGAATATTTTGTGTGACCACCATTATTATCTAGCACTGCCTTAACCCTCTTGGGCATGGAATTCACCAGAGCTGCACAGGTTGCTACTGGAATCCTCTTCCACTCCTCCATGATGACATCATGGAGCTGGTGGATGTTAGACACCTTGCACTCCTCCTTCTTCCGCTTGAGGATGCCCTACAGGTACTCAGTTGGGTTTAGGTCTGGAGACTATATACTTTTCCAGCTTTACCTTCAGCAAGGCAGTTGTCATCTTGGAGGCGTGTTTGGGGTCTTTATTGTTTTGGAAAACTGCCATGCGGCACAGTTTGCGAAGGGAGGGGATCATCCTCTGCTTCAGACTGTCACAGTTCATGTTGGACTGTGGTCTCTGCACAGAGCTGTGCTGGCGGCACTGGCTCTGCAACAGGAAGGATGTGATGGCGATTCCTCCTGTATGTCTTCCCAATGGACTGGATGATGTAGGAGTGCGGCTCCTTGCTTATCTCCTTTACAGTCCCAAGTTGGTCATATCCTTTAGGGGTCTGTATACAGACCACTTGTCCCTCTGCTAAAGGCTGTAGTGGGTGGCTTGACTCATCATATTGACGCTTTAGGGTGAGTCTTTTGTTGAGAAGCTGTGCACTGACTTGCTGGGTGATCTTTGGGGCTGGTTCCAATAGTTTGGTACACACCGGAATGGCTGTGCGTGTCTGACGTGACATCAGACGTTCAGTGGGTGAGCCTAATGTTGTGTCATGGGGAATGTTTCTAAGGTTCAGAGGATTGAGGAAAACATCAGTTCCATCTCTGTGAGATTTCTCCATCAGCTGCTTGGCACTGCGGACTGCTCTCTCCACTAGCCCGTTTGACTGGGGAAACTCTGGGCTGCTGGTGGAATGAACGAAATCCCATTGTTTGGCAAAATTTTTGAAATTCTGACTGGTGTATTGTCTGGCATTGTCAGAGAAGAGGGTGTGTGGTGAACCGTGGACAGAGAAGTGTCTCTTCAATTTGGAGATCACACTTGATGATGTCATGTCACGGAGAAGGTCGATTTCAAACCATCCGGAATATGAATCCACAATCACTTTGTAGTGCTTGCCACGCCACTCAAATATGTCTGTGGCCACTATGGACCATGGAGGGTCTGGAATTGCATGAAGCTGAAGAGGTTCTTTTTGCTGGCGAGACTTGGTGCTATTGCACACTGCACATGAAAGCAACTCCTCAGTGATGGTTGTTGACATCGTTGGCCAAAAGATGATGCTTCTAGTCCTGCGCTTGGTTGCTTCAATGCCTGGGTGGCCTTTGTGCACAATGTTAATGTAGTCTTTGTGCAGAGATTGGGGAATGACTGCCTTGTGACCTTTCATGATGATCCTTTCCTCCACTGTGAGTTCATCTCTGTAAGGGAAAAGAGACTGATGGTGGGCTGGAGCTGGCTTCTTCTTGGGGGCCAACCTCATTGGATGACAGCACTGAGGGTTTGTAGAACACTGTCCTCTGCTGTGTGCCTTCTGAGTTCTTCCAGGCGGGCACGCATGCGGTTCCTAGTCCATGGCATGACGCGTCACAGGTAAGTGTGACTGGCTCCTTGACATCATTTTATGCCAGTACCGGTGGGCTGGACAGGAGTGACTTGATTGCCACAGTTTTAGAGGGATTTGCTTTTAGGCCTTCGCTTGTAAAAATGTGCCCTACGTAGCCTACTTGGTCCATTTATCGGGGTTTAGCCTAAGATTGACCTCTCTTGCACGTTCAAGCACTCTCCTCAAGTTGGCATCATGTTCAGCTACTCCACGGCCTCCAACAATGATGTCTTCAATGATGACTGAGCATGGTTGACCTGCAAACAGGTGTTCCATGGAGCGCTGAAATACCTCACTTATTTCTTATCAAGGCGTATCTGCCAGAAGGAATTTTTCACATCCAGGACGGAGAACACTGTTGCCCCTGACATCTGGTTCTTTGGTGTTCGGCTCTTAACCGTCCTTTTTCAGTGAGAGCTTGGCTAAGGAGTTTGTGGGTTTTGATGACTTCCTGATCTTGTTTTGCAACTTGTATTTTAGCATCGTCTAAATTTTGCTCATATGCAGAGAGGAGGTGGGCTAATTCCTCAGCTCTTTATGTGAACATTGCTTTCTCTTCTAATTGTTTTTGGCTCGCCCGAGAGGCGGCTGCAGCCTGCTTGTGGACATTTTTTAACTCTTTGTGAGTAGATGTGAGTTGAGCTAGAGCTGTGATGGCTATTTTGCATACAGTGTCAGCATATTCTCCACTCTGTTGATCATTAGCCTCAAGGTGGACTTTAAGGTCCATCGCTAGTTTTCCAAGGGCGAATGCACCAGTATTAGGAATCATGGTTGTGTGATTTGGCACCTGGTCTTTAGTTATGTTTATTGCTATGGATTGTAATTTACTAGTAATGCTCCCTGGCAGCTGGTTCGAAGACAATGGGCGTCTATTACTTAAATCAAGCACCGGTCTATAACTGCTTTGGTACCGTTTAGCTATTAGTTGGACGTCCAGCAGTACTGCGTGCGTGTTAAATCCAAGACTTTGGATTTACGAGGGCTTTATTTTATCTCAGCCAGCAGAAAATTTAACAACTATCACCAGTAAAGGTTATAGTCTCACCATGAGAATCACCACTGTGACTGCCTCAATGCCACAATTCCAGCCATACAATCCAACAGCACTCCCCTCCCAGGACCAATATAATCTGGCAGTGAGTAACTCTAGGTTGGTGGAGCACCGGGTGAGTGGGACCCCAGACTGACAGGTAAAGACCTCTTGGGCTGTATCAGAATTGGGCAACCTAATGAGGTGTCACTCGTATTGGTGTTTACCTTGGGGTGACCGGTGCAATAACTCGAAGGGAGGGTCTCTCCAGGTGGTTTGGCCCAAAAGGGGAGAGAACTCAAAATCAGGGAATAAAGACCCATGTTACTGAATCCAACTGGCCCACCCTCAGGGGTCAGGCTCAAATGAGACCAGGTCCAGGTGCAATAAACCCAGGATTGAGAACCTCCTACCAATGGACAACAACTCCTAAAGGGGGAGACTCAAAATTTAGTGGATAAAGACCCACGTTGCTGAGTCCCAGCTGGAAGCTGTTTAAAGGAGGCACTGTTGGCAGTGCACCTTTAGGTTGCCCTCAGCAAGGACCAGAGCCAGGTAAAATGAGCTACCAAATTGAGAGACCCCAGCAATGGGAGCACATACAGTGTCAGAGCAGAGCCACGCAGGCCAAGGGACCCGAGCACCACAAGACAGACAAGCCGCAACGGTGGACCTGGAGGAAGCCACAACTAGTAGATGCTGCCAGTGAATGCTACAGCAATTTGACCTGATAAGCTCTACTTATGAAATGTTAGAATGGTTACCAGTAGTGGCTGAGTAAACTAAATGCGAATACTGTAACCTGTGGATTCAATAGAATATTATGGTCTCGCTGTAAAGCGGGACGTAACAATAAGCTAAGCCTACGTATGAGTACCTGAGGGTATTATAAAGTTTATTCAATTATATCTAACTCACACAATTATTTAAGGCGGTGTAGAGACAATAAATAGCAGTCAGGGACAGAGCAGACAGGGGTTCTCACAAAAGGAAACACAGTTACTCCAGTGGTTAGAGAATACAAAGTGAAAACAGTGAACAGCCAACACCAAAGCCAACTTCACTAGATGTCTATAAACAAGGGACAGCACAATTTTGACAAAGGCACAGATCCAAAGCCTTATAATAAAATAGGTAAAGCACTGTTCAGTGAAATCACAGCTAAAAGAGTGTTTATCGAACCACAAACAAGGTAACACAGAATCAATCCATATTAGAAAGACAACAACAGAGTCCCAACTTAAGTCTCATCCGACTCAACTCACTTCTGTACTTAAGTTGTGATTCTCAGTTTATTCTCGACAGTGCTCAGCACACACACAAGTTCCTTCCATTAATCTTTTATGAGGAGATGATGCGAGATTAACTTCCACTTACAGTGCATTAAATCTAATGCCAGGGAGCACCTCTATCTGCAATACGCTGAATCGGACAGCTGGGGGCGCCAAAGAGCACTTGTGTTTGCCATGCACTGATTCAAACACTAGATAGCAACTTATTCAACAAATACTGGGAATCACAGACCCCAGCCTCCGTGGCACTTTGCCACACGAATTAACTTCGACCACGCACAATAATTTGAGCCCAGAGCTCACTAGAGAACTACTGCAATCAGCATACACTCTGACCTTTGCAGCTGGAGTTTCACAAACAGTTAATTATACTTATGATAGAGATACTGAGCTAAGCAGTATCTAAGCTTGCCTATTTTAACGGACAGGAATCTCACTGTCAGAACTAAATGCAAGCATACAATGCCCCCTTTTCACCAAAGTGACTGTCTCTGGGTAGGTAGCGACCCTACAACTCAAAGACGACAGGAGGTTCTGAAAGGGAGTCGATTGCTGGAGTCTCGCAGCCGATTAAGTCCGCAATTCGGTGTGTAGTGGGCGGTAGCATGTGACCAGAATACACTAAGGCCTTCTTAAGGATAATGCATGCAATAATAAGGCGCACAGTGGCACAATCGACTGTACAGTACCTCTTTAAACAAACACTGGGCACATGGCGGTGCCTACAGTAGTGCAAAATCTTGGCAAATAACAAGCTTGTTCAGACTAATGTTAAACAAATAACAGTCAACAAAACACAATAGCTCACGTCCAAATCGGAAAATTTAAGCAAGGTAGTTTCCCAAAGTCTGAGGAGAAAGGGGATGCTATGGTTACCCAAAGTTAATGCTAGGCTATAATAACAAGGGACCTTGCTTACGGTAGCAGCAGGCAAAGCTAACAAAGGGTTAAGCTAACATTGCGTTACTATCGCATGAACAATGGCGGATGCAAAGATCACCAGGCCCTGCGTTGGCCGCCAATCTGTAACAGGTTTTGCAATTTTAATGTTATTATTGCTAGAACTTAGATAAGGGTGTGGGATAACCCGGATTTATTTGAAGTCTACAGACCAGGGCAAGGGAGAGAAACGCTCACACCAAGGATGCTTCAATAAAAGGGAATTTAGTGGCTAAATATCAAACTACTTTTGGACTACATTCCATGATAGACAACAGAAAATAAAACAAAAACACAACAAAAAATCACAATAAAAGTGATTCACAGTTAAATGGTATGAGGCAGTATAGTTCTTGGGAAGCCGCTCGAAACTTATACTTGAAAGAGCCTCAGTATAAGTTTTGGCCAGCTGAGGATAGATGAGGGTGGTGGAGGTTTAGCTAATAAAATAGTTAATGATTTTACATAGAGTGAACAGAACCTCTGAAAAGGTCAACTTTTAAAGCTGCTAATGCTCTAATTACATTACCACCACAGAACCACCCAAATTTTCTTTCCTCAGGTGAATGACCTGCAACTGATACATGGTGGAGTTCATATTGGCAACAAAATAACATGACAAAGAACAGTAGTGGACTCAGCACACACCCCAAAGTGCTGAGAGTGCTGTGAATCTTTTTTCCATGCCACAAAAACAGTTGGAACATGTTTTGCTGATTCTCTAAACCTTGGATAAAAAATGACATGCATAAAAGGATTAATGGAGGAATTAATGTATATTAGCCAGCCCAACACAGTCCACACCATTGACAGAGATGTCAAGCTTTCAACCGAGAGAGAACTTAAATAGTCAGGTATACATTCATACACTCTATTAGCTTAAGCCATGAGCCTATTCATGTACTCAGCTTAGGTCCACAGGCCCATGCATGCACTTTATTATCTTGGTACCACAGTCCCATGCTTGCATTCTATTAGCTCAGAGGTACAGGCCAGCATGGTGACAATGGCTGAAATCTTGTCTAACGCAGTGTGACAGTGTGAAAATATTTATGCATGCAACAGCTCTGAACTATTGTATTCATTACACTGTAAGAAATGGGTCTAGTGATTCCAGAATCTCTGGACCATCGAGTTTGTTGCGTCTTTGTGAGAAGTGTAAAGAACCTGGTAAGGATAAGGCCACAGTGACCTGTGACTCTGTCACTACTACTGACTACTGATCACCTACACCTGTTCCTTGTTCTATGTGCTTGCTAGTTTAGTTTATAAGCCTGGGCTTTAGCTTAGCTTATTTGCGAAGTATTGCCTTTGTTTACAGAGCCTTACTGAGCCTTCGATTCTGTCTGATTGCTGTATCGTGTATCACCCATGCCTTGTTTGTTTATTGACCTTGGCTTTGCCTTGCCCTTCCAGTATTGTTGTACTTTCTGGTTTGATCTTGTTTCTGATTGTTTCGGATATGGTTTTTCAGACTGCCCTCATGGTTACCACTTTTGTGTTTTTGCTTTTGACTTTGGAACGGCTGACCTTGATTTTGGATTCTCCCTTTGTTAATAAACCCATTTTACTTAAGTGTGGTCCGCGAGCATCTGATTTCTGTCCGAGCCTGACAGAATACTTTACCGTCATGCACACTGCAGACCTCAACAGTGTCCAACAGGCTGTTGACACACAGGTCTCAGCTCCTGGGACAACACCATCAGCTTCTCGTCGGCTTCACTCAGTCTATCGGTGACTTAAAATCACAATGGGGGAGCAAGAGTATTAAAGATCTGTCTAGCCACATTCAACATCTGACTGATAATGCTCCCAAGTCTACTAGTTCCAACACTAGCCTTTTTCCTGTTAGTAAACTCAATACATTTGATGGAACCCCCAAGAAATGTAGTGGATTGTAATTAAACCTGCAGAATGTAATTACAGTATAGGAGACAGAGAACCACTGGAGGGAGCTCAACATCTCTTTCTTGTCCTTACAGATCACAAAAACATAGAATATTTATGGTCAGCTAAACTCCTTAATCCAGGGGCAGCACAGTGGCGCAGTGGGTAGTGCTGTTGCCTCACAGCAAGAATGCCCTGGGTTCGATTCCCGGCCGGGTGATCAGGGTCGTTTCTGTGTGGAGTTTGCATGTTATAGGCTCCAGCTCCCCCCATGACCCAGAAATGCCTTAATCCCTGTCAAGCTCGGTAGTCACTCTTTTTATCACATTTTCAGTTTAACATTTCATTTGGTTCCAGTACTTGTAATTCCAAAGCCCAAGCCCTGTCCTGCATACATCAAGATGACAAGGAGGAGTCTGTTGGTGATCCCTATGAACCCTAACTCTATTGTTTCAATAATCAGTCAGATTGGTCTAAGTACTTGGTGTGGGCTGAGATGGCCTTAAACTTTGTCATCTGTTCAGCCACAGGACTAACCCTTTATCAGTGTGTTTTGGACTATCAGCCTCCTTTGGCCCCCAAACCACCACGCCCTCTGATGTGCCCAACGAGGATGACTGGATAAGGCAGAGTGAGGAGGTCTGGTTGGAGACTCACTGCAGAATCAAGACAGCTCTACAGCAGAGTAAGGAGCAAGCTGATCACTACTGTGTAGAAACCCCCTCCTTCCAGCCTGGAGATTGGGTGTGGTTATCGACTCGGGATCTCGGGTTTGGGGAGGGTTGTAAGAAATTGCACCCTAAGTACATTGGTCTGTTCCAGATTGTTAAACAAATTAATGAATTTACTTGACTTGCCTGCTCAGTATCATATCTCACCCTCTTTTCATGTCCCTCCTCAAGCCTGTAGTTCTGGGTCTGCTGGATGAGGCGTCGCCCAACGTGGCCCCCACATACTCGTTTGGAGGTGAACAGCTAACTAGTGTACACTGTTCATGAGGTGCTGGACTCCAGGTGGTGTGGAGGGGAACTGCAATACCTTATTGATTGGGAGGGATCACATGACCTCTGATTTCCTTCACATGACTCTACACTGGTCTGCCTCACCTAACTACTGATCACCTATACATGCTCTTTGTTCTAAGTGCTTGTTAGTTTAGTGTATAAGCATGGGCTTTAGCTTAGCTTATTTGTGAAGTATCATGCTGTATCATGTATGACGCTTGCCTTGTTTATTTATCAACCTTGCCTTTTGCCTTGCCCTTCCAGTATTGTTGTACTTTCTGTTTTGATCCTGATTTTTGGACATTGCTTTTTGGACTCAAGAAGGGTCTGATTCACCAGCTGGATGACCAGGGTCTTTTCTATGTGGAGTTTGCATGTTCTCTTTGTGTCTGCGGGGGGTTAACTCCAATTGCTCTGGTTTAGCCCATTAGGCCTAAAAAGGCCTCAAGCTGTTTGGGTCTTATTTATAGGCAGAGTGAATAGAACTGAAATGAAGTCAGTTCACCAAAAGGACTTCAGTTGCCATAACCAGCGAGCAGAGGTCTTTAAACACAATGTAGGTTTACATTCATATGTACTGATCTACACTGGTTTGTAGAACATCCAAAAGGTTGTCAACATAGATGTCAAAACTACATGACTAATGGCAGCATTTGTCACATAGTAGCACTTGCCAAGTGGATTGGTTCTATATTTAACTCTTTGATTTGATGTAGGCCATAATGAGGCCCAATGCACTCATAAGGGGCCCTTTAGGTGTAGAGGAGCTCAGTGAAAGTGGGTCAGAATTTGTCAAAAGGCCTCAACATGGTATGAATATTGATCAGGGACGATATCCAAAGACGGTACCAAGTTTCGTTCAGATTGACCTTTTGACCTTTGTATAATAAGTCTTTGTATAATGTAGTCTTTCAATGAATGAGCCAAAATACCAGACAAGCAGTACAATTTCTGACATAACATGTAATAAGAAAGTTGTTCAATTGAGTGAACTGAGTCTTATGGCACCAATTGTTTATCTCTTGACCTTGTAATAACATTGTAATAGCATTTTTATTGATTTCTAAGTGTTTTTGAGTGCTAAAGCGCCCCCCTAATGGCTAATCTAGAAGAAAATTGGAAAATCATTGAAGTCTCAATCTGTGAAAGTCCTTAAAGATTGGAGATTACCTGACCAATGACTGATGAGTTATAGCAAGTCAAGCTAGCAATACAATGGCCGCAGTAATTAGTTGATTTTTGCATACCACACTGAGTATAAAACTCAACATGTTTTTGATAATTATTTACCTAGAGAGGCCAAAGAGTTAGAAAAGTATGGTTTTCAAACAGTTAACAATTACACAATGCAGTTGTGCAACCATATACTTCAATGAATCAAATTGTCCTCATAGTCTGGTGAACAGGTGGTACATGCAAAGTTTCAGCTTGATTGGATGTATGGATGCTGAGAAACAGCCATGCAGCATTAACTCCGCCCCCTAATAACATTTGCGCATAAAAATGTATAGGCTGCCTCAGAATCTTCTGCCGATTATGCCTGTCAAGTTTCACATTTTTTGGCTGAAGATTGTTGAGTTACCAAATTTTAAATTAATTCTGAATTATTTTGAATTTCTTCAGAAAGGTTCATTTGCACATGGCAGCCATGTTGTTTAGAAAATTTAAAATGTTTTTTGATAATTATTGATAATTATTCAGGCTCTTCTGAATTTTTTGACACCAATTACATGGGGATAATCTCATTGGCCTGTGCAATAGCACCCCCTTATGGCCGATTGGGCTGATTTTGTGCACCTGAGTATTGGGAGGGACTACTACCTATTGACCAAGTTTGGTGTTTCTTGGACTTACGTCTGTGTGTTCCATTTCAGGGAAAAAAAAGAATAATAAAATCTTGACAATTCCAAAAGGGTTCTACGCATTGCTTGAACCCTAATAATATAACAGTACTATAATCACAAAAACATACTTGAGATTGCATTATACCACAAGATAGTGCCACTAGTGTGCACGCCAGTACCACAAACTCATGGTATAACACTATCTGGAGTGCAGTGCGATTACTCGAAGTCTTTAAGGATAGTAGACTGCAAGCACTGGGTTTATGGAATAGCTGCAGGGGAATTAACTGATATAACATCTATAGGTCAATAAACATAATTGTTACAGGTATCTATCCTTGAATGTGGGCCTGTATTTGCTTAGTCAGAGATTCACCTTCACCTCAAATGCCCCTAATTGTGTGCCCTTAATTATCAGCACCCTCTTCCAGCATTAAGAAAATGGAACTCAGAATAGCTGTTTTAAACAGTTTGGATTCACTGTGGACAGATGAAAGACTGAAAAAGCACAGGACACTTGAAATGTTTATGTATTTCTGTATAGACAGGTTTAGGGTTATAAATGATAACAGCCCCTTTTAATGCATTGTCTAAAGCAATGAGCACACAGTACATCCACACTTTATTAATACAATCAAATGTTTTTGTAAGAAAACACACTATGTGATCATTTCAGTCACTAAATATTTGTCATTAGTATTGACAAATATTTAGAGCAAAACTGCTACAAATGGATCATGTGAGAAGAACTGTTTAAACTCTATAGTACTACTAAATGACCACAGCAATAGATTTTAATTAACGTGGAAGAGTTAATTGTAACCATCATGTAAAACCTTAGGCCATTTATAAACTTTTTTTTTTTCTTTCAGTTGATTTCTTTTACTGGAGTTTATGAAGCTGTTCTTAGGTGTGGGTTTCACCATATTAAGAAATAATGACCAAATGCGAGCATAATTCTATCAATCAAGTAAGGGCCCAGTGAATTTGAGGAGAACTGCTGTAGTCAATGGAAAATGTACCCACCAGCAACTTTCAGAGTAAGGGGTCACTATACTTGTAGCAGACAATTTCAACAGAATTATAGAGCAAGCAGACCAAGATTTAAACATGATATCTGTATATAATAAGAGGCGTCATAACTAACAGCAATTAAAGTAAAGTAACATGACAAGAAATGAAAGCATGTAGAAATAGGTATACATGATCCACAGCATCAGAGTGAAGAAAATATGATACATTTCTACAAAGCTGCCTAGTTTACTGTAGGATACAAACAAAATAACCAGAGTTTCTAGGCATCCATTAGACTGTCCTGAAAGTATCCAATAATAGTGAAGTGGTTTTGGCATTGTCAGCTGAATTCAGCCTTGAGTTAAATGTAAACATGCTCAGATAAATTCTAAACCTTAAGCCCTAGATAAATTAAACCTTGCTGACGAGGATTCCAATATTCTACAAGTTACAATATATTTAGCTGATTTTCTAAACCACGAATAGAAAATGGCATACATGAATGGATTTATAGAAGAGTTAATGTATATGAGCCAGCTAAACACAGTCCACACCATTGACAGAGATGTCAAGCTTTCAACTGAGAAAGAACTGAAATAGTAAGGTATCCAGCAAGCAAGATAAATGAAAATTAAAGTGCCTAATTTTTTTGCTGCTTTGGTTTCAGAAGCACTTGAAACTTTGGCTTCATGTGTGTTTGAAGCACCATTTATCACAGCTCTAACCGCTTTAGCTTGATGCCTTGCCACATGAAAAATGACTGAATACAAGATCAGTATAATAGAGCAAGGAGCTAAAAATGTCAATACTAGGTCAGTGATTACCCAAGAATAGTTTATGACCAGGGCACACTCTCCATAACACTGGGTGGATATCTGAGACTGAAGGAAATGGCCATTAAAGTAGAAAAATATGATGATGTAGAATAAGGCAAAAGACCAGCCTAGAATTACAACCAATATGGTTTTACAAACTGTCATTTTAGTAGAATAAAGTAGAGGGTCACAGATAGCAACATACCGATCAACTGCAATGAAAATCAAGCTATAGAGAGATGCTAACAATGAGACCTCATTGATTATTGGATAAATCCAGCATGCTATTTGTCCAAGATACCAACAGGAGTCTATCAATTGCATTATATTCACAGGCATAACAAACAGACCCACGAGAAGATCCGCCACAGCCAGAGAGAGGATGAGCAGGTTGGTGGGAGTGTGGAGCTGCTTGAAGTGAGAGATGGAGATGATCACCAGCAGGTTCAGAAACACAGTGAACACAGATATACATGAGAGAAAAAAGAACAAAAATATGTTTCCAGGGCCTGTTCGCACCTCCTTTATGCAAGATGAGTTGTTATCAGGAAAGCAGTATTGAACTGTGATGTTTTGCTCGTGGTCTGAGTTATTCATCTGCAATTGACACAAATCTGCCAACTGGAACTGATCCAACTGTACTGTTCAGTAATACTGAATTGGGACATCTGCTTCCTGGCATGTCTCTTTATACCTAAGTATGAATCCTCCCACTGACATGTGAGTGGCTAGTTTGTCATTACATCATTTACTTATCTAATATTAAAAACACATTATTACACACAATGTAATACACAGCATATTACAGTATCACCCACGAACAGGTGAGTTGTAGGTGTTTATAGTAATACCTGGTAACACTTCACTCTCAGCCTCCTTTCGCAAGCATATTTATGAAAATTACATAAGCATTTCACGGCAACTTACATAAATCTACTTAGATATTTAAAAAGCCTTATTTCATCATGTGGCAGTTTTCATACCAGCTGCATTCATCGATTTCAATGTCAAGTTGTCATAACTGACATAACTGAGGTTTTTCTTGACACCTTATCTTTTGTCATAACACTTTCTGGGGTGAAATGATACAGCACATTCTATTGCCATCAGGCCACAGGCCCATATATATATGCAGTCCATTAATGTAAAGCCACGGGCCCATATGTACACTCTGTTAGCTCTGTGTCACAGGCTCAAATCTGACATTATCACTGATGTTAAAGATGTATCTATCACTAGGCTTAGCACTTTTCCTGTTAGTAAGCCTGATAAATTTGGTGGAACTTCTGAGAAATATAGTGGACTTTTGCTACAGTGTTCCGTGTTTTTCAACTATTCACCCCTGAGCTCAGACCAGGTTAAAGTAGCATTTGTGGTTTGCCTGTTTGTCTGATAAGTCTTAAGCTGCAGCAGTCTGGAGTACTGTTAAGAATAAATCGTATGAAAATAAGTTGTTTTTAACTAAATTTGGCTCTGTTTTTGAACACCCTCATGGGGGTCGCCCTAGTGGTGACCTACTGTTCAAGCTTTGTCAAGGTAATTGAACAGTGGCTGCTTATGCTTTGGATTTCTGCACCATAGCAGTTGGTGGGGTTTGGAACAAGTCTGCTTTGTTAAATGCTTTTTGTAACAGACTTCATTCTGACATGTTAACGTAAATGGCTTGCAGAGATGATGAACTGATGTTAGATCAGCTAATTTCTATGTCAATTTGTCTGGAGAAACGTGTACAAAAATGTTCTACGCAAAGAGTAGTGCCACCACTCAGAAGTCCAACCAGCTCCAGCTCTGGCTCCAGTTTGAACTCTACCTTGGTTCCAGTCGAAGTTCCAGTTCCCGATTCAGCTCCAGTTCCAGTTTCAATTCCTGTTGCAGTTCCAGTTCAACACACATCTTCTGATCCTATGCAATGCGAATTGTCAAGGCTGTCAAAGAAAGAAAGACTTCATCTCCATGGGGGCTTGTGTCTCTATTGCGGTGCTACAGGTCATGTGTTATGTGACTGTCAGGCTTGCATACACAAGCATAAGGTGCCAACCCCAGGAAAATGCATGGAGGCTACTCCACGTGCTTATGGGGTGGCTGTTCCCACTAAGGGTTTGGTTTTAAAATCTTTCATGTTGCCCGTAACCATTGACTGCCAGAATTCTTCTCTGGTTTAACCAGCCTTGATTGACTCAGGAGCTTAAGGAAATTTCATCCGGTAATTAACTCAATATTGACACCAAGAAATTTGTATATCTGCTTTCGTTCATCCCTTTCACCCTTGAACAGCTCAGAGGAGCCTTTTTTTCACCAAATTAGACCTCAGCAGTGCCGACAATTTGATAAGAATCAGTGAAGGAGATGAATGGAAGACCATGTTTGTGACCTCTAGATGTCACCACGAGTGCCTGGTCATGCCTTTCAGCCTCTCTGATGCCTCACTGTCTTTCAATCTTTTATGAACAACATCCTATGTGACATGATTGGGAAGTTTGTTACAGCACATATCGATGATGTCCTGGTATATTCCCCTGATCTAGTCACACAAATTCTGCATATTGGCCAAGTACCTAGCAGGTTACTAGACAATCAACTGTTTGTGAAAGGAGAAAAATATGAATTCCACTTACAGACCGTTTCTTCTTCTGGGTTATGCAATTAGTGCTACTGGGGTTGTCATGGATGACCACAAGGTAGAGGCTGTGGTTCACTGGCCTGTCACCACATCATTGAAGGAACTACAAAGATTTTTAGGTTTTGCTAACTTTTATTTTAGATTAATTCGGAACTTCAGTTTTTATTGCCACACCCTTACTGCTCTTCTTAAAAGAGCCCTGAAAAAGTTATGTTAGTGTTCTGAGGCAGACGAGGCCTTTTCCACACTTAAAACTGCTTTCACTACTGGCCCCATTCTCAGATATCCATCTTTGCCTTTTGTCGTATCAGAATCTGGAGTTGGTGCACTTCTATCACAGCACAGCAGGGATCCCTCTAAACTTCATAGCCTTTTATTTACATAAGCACTGGGATGAGCTCCAGAACCCCCCAGTGACCCAGGAGGATGACTGTGTGCCAGTACTGGCTTTGGATGTGTGGGAGGCATGGTCATGCGTGAAGCACTACTGGAAGGACAGTATTTGCAGTCAAAGACACTTTGAACACAGAATAATGTCAATGTGAATAAAGTTGTTGTTGGTAGTGTAAAACTTTAAGTTTCGTTTCTTCACGGTCTTACCGAGACTCGGGGCTGTGGGTTAGTTCGGTCGGCGATGGGTAACGAGGACGAGGAAACAAAGAAGAGTGAAGGCCACTTTTAATGCAGAAACACAACTGCTTCGGCTACTCGTTACTGCAGGTCTGAGAGAAAACCATAACAATTCTTCCCTGCTTCTTCTACACACCCTCTCTCCCTCTTTTAACTCCACCCCCTTTACATACGTCACTCTAATAACTTTCTTTATTTAACAGCAGCCTTGGTGACTAAAACATTCACAGCTTATTCAAACTAACAATTATTATAATAGTTGCAAATCATTGTTCTTACAGTAGTGTGAAGCTGTATACATGTGGTTACATTGCCTTGTTGTGCTGGGCTATGAACCTGGTTCAGTAGGTTTGGTGGTCACCATGGATTACTCTGCTTCACATCTGCTCAGTACTGTGGAGCAGTGGGCCCCCCTGCTGCTATACTTTCTGTTGTAATCTAATTTCTGAAATGTATTGCTTAGCAAAATTTCCTTTGTATAGATCATTTGTGGAACTCAAACAACAACTAAAAATAAAAATCAATAATATAACAGTACTATAATCATAATAACATACTTGAGGCTGTGTTATACCACAACATAGTGGCACTGATGTGCTGACCTATTGCACAACTGCAGCACACCAGTACCAAAAACTCATGGTGTAACACTACCTTGAGTGCAGGGCGTTTATTCGAAGTCTTTAAGGAAAGTAGAAGGCAAGAACTGGGTTTATTGAATAGCCACAGGAGAATGAACTAATAGAACATCAGAAGGTCAAAAAACAGCATTGTTACATGTATCTATGCTGTAATTTGGGCCTGTATTTGCTTAGTCAAAGATTCACCTTCACCTCAAATGCCCCTAATTGTGTGCCCTTGATAATCAGCAGCCTCTTCCGGCATTAAGAAAATGGAACTCAGAATAGCTGTTAGATGAAAGATTGTTTATGTATTTCGGTATTTTTAGACATGTTTAGGTTTACAAATAATAATAGCAGCACTTTTTTAATGCATTGTCTAAAGCAACGAGTGCACAGTACATCTACACTTTATTAATACAATGTTTTTTGTAAGAAAACACACTATGTGATCAATTCAGTGACTAGATATTTTTCATTAGTATTGACAAATATATAGAGCAAAACTGCCACAAATGAATCGGTCAGAAGAACTGGTTACACTCTATGATGCTACTAAATGACCACAGCAATATATGTTAATTAATGTGGAAGAGTTATTTGTAACCATCATGTAAAACTTCAGGCCATTTATGAACTTTTTTTCCCCTTTCAGTTGATTTATTTTACTGGAGCTTACAAAGCTGTTCTTAGGTGTGGGTTTCACCATATTAAGATATTATAATGACCAGATCTGAACATAATGCTATCAATCAAATAAGGACCCAGTGAACTTGAGGAGAACTGCTGTAGTCAACGATGGAAAATGTACCCACCAGCAACCTTCAGAGTAAAGGGTCACTATACTTTTAGCAGACAATTTCAACAGAATTATAGAGCAAGCAGAAAAAGGTTTAAACATGATATCTATATATAATAACAGACTCGACTAATAACAGCAATTAAAGACAATTATCATGACAAGAAATGAAGGCATGTAAGAAAAACAAAAACAGTTATACATGATCCACAGCTTCAGACTGAAGAAAATATGATATTCAATTTTAGAAAATACATTTCTACAATGCTGTCTAGTTTACTGTATGATACAAACAAAATAATCAGAGTTTCTAGGCATGAGAGTGAAGTGGTCTCAGCATTGTCTGCTGAATTCAGCCTTGAGTTACACATGCTCAGATAAATGATAAACCTTAAACCTTAGATAAATTAAACCTTGCTGACGAGGATTCCAATATTGTACAAGTTACAATATACTTAACTGATTTTCTGAACCATGGATAGAAAATGGCATACATAATTGGATTAATGGAGGAGTTAATGTATATTAGCCAGCCCAACACAGTCCATACCATTGACAGAGATGTCAAGCTTTTGAGTGAGAGAGAGCTTAAATAGTAAGGTATCCAGCAAGCAAGATAAATAAATATTAAAGTGCCTAATTTTTTTGCTGCTTTGGCTTCAGAAGAGCCTGAAACTTTGGCTATATGTTTGTTTGAGACACCATTTATCACAGCTCTAACCGCTTTAGCTTGATGCCTTGCCACATTAAAAATGACTGAATACAAGATCAGTATAATAGAGCAAGGGACTAGAAATGAAAATGCTAGGTCAATGATTACCCAAGAATAGTTTATGACCAGGACACACTCTCCATAACACTGGGTGGATATCTGAGACTGAAGGAAATGGTCATTAAAGTAGAAACATATGGTGACGTAGAATAAGGC